CGGTCAAACGGATTTCAAAATTTGACCTCAGAAATTAAAATTGTTTTAACAGTTTTTGAATCCGTCATAACAAATTTGTACAATTGGTAAATTCAAATTCACATCTATTTTTCTATAAATTCCAAATATCAAATTTGCTTAAACTTTCATTCGTTTCAGTTTCAGAATTTGTTTAAACGATTAAAATCTGTTGTAACAAATTTTTGAATTCGATATAACAAATTCAACAAATTTGTTATAAAAATTATATTCATTACAACAATTAAAAAAAAACTGTTATAACGAATTAAATTCCTTCTAACAAATTCAACGATTCGTTATATCGAATTCAGTATTATTTTTCATTGGTTTTAATTAGTTTTTAACATAATCAGTTTCTGTGATTTATAGTTAAATCAATCTTTCTGTGTTAAGTAATGTAGTACATATTTGCTTTATTGTGTGAGGTCGATAGAAAGGATATACTTACTCCTCAATAGCACGTGATCTCACTTCTGATATTATTTAATATCACGTAACCTCACCTCTGATATTATTTAAAGGTCATTGTTTATTCTTTTTTCCTTAATTGACTTTTTAAATTGATTTCTGTTTGTTATCTTCATTTTCACTTCATTATTATTGCAAATTATGGTTAATGAAGTACAGTTTGGTCCAATTCCTAGAAAAGTGTGCCTTATCTTACAAAATATTTATTTAGCCATTTCTTTCCTTATGATACACATATATCATTTATTTTACATGAATAATTAACCGCTCACCTTCCATTTTGTTTATCATTATTTCACATCTCTAGGGCAATGTTTACAATTTATTTCATTTAGCTTATCTTCTCAGAGACAACAGAATCCGTATTTATTTTGTACAAAAACTTTTTAAATATTGGAAAATTATTCCTTAATAATGTGTATTTTATGATTAGAATAACTGTCCTAATCGAAAAAATAAATGTTCTGATCAAAAGACTGTGAATAATTCATATTGGTGTCTTATCATCAATAACAACTAGGTTGTCACAGAATGTCCTTGATAGAATGAAAAAAAGTGCCCACTGTTGAAGATGAATAGTTCTTTACAATGAACGATATGGAGATAACGAATATTATTCAGGATCAAAAGTCCATAAAACAATACAAAATAGGAGCAGAGCAAACACGGACCTCCGAAACATCAGAAGTACGTGGCATCAGGTGCATTAAAGAAATATGAATGTATACCACGTGATCGTGTTATAAAGTGTTAAAGTGTCCTTTATTTTTCTTCGAATTTAAAGTTACTAATAAATTGATACTTTTTCGTATTATCTCAAATAAAGATGAATTTGTCTGTTTAGTAGTTATTTCATAATTTACCTTGTATAAAGCTATTATCTTCAAATATGTTTTCCCTTCAGCGCAATTCTCATTCAGCTAAACATTAAAAAATGACTAAGAAATGAATGAAGATTCGTGTACAAGGATAAACATTAATTTCAGACAACTAGACAAGTAAAGGTTAGTTTAATTTTTTCCCTCGCCCCTTTTAAAAAGAATGCACAATTTTCACGTTTGAAAAAAAAACCCTGATAGAACAGGAAGTAGTTAATTTTAAAAGCAAGAAAAACTCAATTGTAAAAAAAAAGTTTTTCGTCACACGTAAAATTAAGTCCGAGAAGAAGTTTGAATACTGATTAAAACATTTAAGCACGTGACTCAGGATTAAATAATCTCTGATATATGTACAAAACGAGATTGAAACCACAGTACTTGTATAATTTTTTGACTGTTTGTTTGTTTGACTGTCACCATCTAGTATAAAAATATCTGAAAACATTCAAAATTTCTCGCAAATATTATCAAATTACGGAAAAGATTTGTTTCCCTACTCACACGAAAGGTTCTCAGTTCTAAGATCATACACGGTAAAAAATGCCTAATATAAAAATTTCAGAACGCAAAAAATATTTTTACATGGTTGTTGACGGAAAAGTTCTGTGGGTTTGTCTTATTTCGCTCATTTCAGGAATGTGTGACGTCATAGTTTGGTTTTCCCGTACTCGAGAAATGTAAACATGACACGTTTTTTTGGAAAAAAAAACTCAATACTGATTAAGGTTCAACATTTAACACTTAATTTGAAGTTCGGTAAATTTTCAAATATTGAATGATAGGATTTTTTGCAAATTAATTTTTTTATGGTTTAAGTTGTCTTTACACTTCCCCTTTTAAATTTAACTTTCCGCTGGTAAAGAAATACACTCACCCTTGTAATCAGTCTACATTTCACTATTATTAACTTCAACATTTGCAATGTGACCATTATTCCATTTTCTTTCTAATCGAAGTCTAACAGTCATTTATTGGCATATCTATTATAGGTAACGCTCTAACTTATATGTTTTGAGAGGACAGAGGGCTAGTATTTTAAATAGAAAGCAGACTTTAAAACTTCATCAGAAGTTAATATATAGATAATTGACCATTGATTAGGTCTTTCCTACAAAAGAGTAATAAATAATTTTTCGTTTATGATTTCCTTTCGAAGGTAGAATTTAGAATTTGTATTAAAGATAGACCAAGCAGTGTTAATCCTATGAATTTAACTTGCAATTGGATAAAGGGTTGCAGAACAATGTTCTCGTTAGAAGTCCTTCGTCTATTATGTGTTTGTTATAGTTTTAAATTAAAAAAAAAACATGCATATAATACATGTTGTAGCCAAACCAAAACTACGGACTTTGTTCCAAGAAATGCATGTGTCGTCTACTTTTAAGCATTATTCAGCATCTAAATAAATTCTAAGAGTAATTAGTTTCTATTAAACGAATAAATGTCAAGTATTTTGGTCTCATGATATGATCAATCTATTTGCTCTCTTGATAATTGACATGAAGGCCGAAGGCGTCAAAATATCATGCGAGAAAATTGATTAAAATCATCATTTAAAAAAAACACAAGTCGGGAATTCCTTATATTCACATTTTAACCTGATCTTTAATTCCATTAAAAAACAACGAGTAATAAATCTCAGTATTCCCAGGTATATTGTTAAGCAACAGGCAGCGAAAAAGCACGTTCTGAGCAAAATGTTTTATGGGGACAGTATTCTATTACTTTATTTGTAGTTTTATCTCAAAAAAAGACATTAGAAAATGTATTTTACTTTTTTTTCTTTGCTGTTAGCCAGAAATTCCTGCACGAGAATCTGAAATTCAAAGAAAACAAGGTTCCATAACCCCAAACAGAATAATTAAGTTGTACTTCATGATCTATTACCAAGAGTTTCTAACGTAATTTTGGTCAATATTGCAAATTACATATACCGGTATTAGAATGTTATGTGTTTTCAGAATGTAAAACAAATGTTATTTATGAAAAAATGTTAAATTTATTACAACCACTCATGTGATGTGAAGCCATTAAATTAATTAGATCCACCTTTTTTTCGATTACCGTTAACAAGTGTATCCAATCAGATTAGGGATTAATAAAAAATTCGTTTACAAATAACTTAAATAGTGTAAAATTAAACCGCTTATGACCACTCAAAAAGATGAGAAATAATAATGTTGTATAATTACTATTACAGGGGATTGTTCTGGGCACTGTTTGTTGTTTCAATTATACTTTCCGAATCAGTGTCTAAGCTATATATCGCTCAACTAAATAAAGACGATGTTTTTATTCGTGACAATCTTTTGGCAGAGTATGACGCTTATTCCATAACTATGTGTGCAGCTGTGTGTGGTCCAGAATGTAGGTATTTTGGCGTCAATTTGCACACAAAGAAATGTCGCGTTTACTCGGGATGTCAGCCAGATAATTCAACAGAAATTCAAGTAGGATGGAAATACTACAGCTCGGAATCAGAAGGTATTGCATTTTAATTACAGTAAAACCCGTACATACAAAACTAGTTAAAATGTGTGGCGGCTACTGGGTAATATAAACGTGATGTTAAACTTTAAAGAAATAATAAATATAAAAGTAACACCTTTTATATCTACTGCTCTATGCATAAGAAGTATATAAAATTGACAATAGGGAATTTATTTTTACTCTAAACAGATAAAGCATCAAATCATTTTAATGATAAGCTTTGCATAAGATAATTTGCAGCCACTGGATATGAAACTTATGATGAGACTTACGGCATGATAAGAGAAAAAATAGATATTAAAAGTTACAGCCTTTTCACCGATTCCTGAATGCATAAGGCATATTTTAAAAAATGAGGATAGGAAATAATATTTACTCAAAACAGTAATCTCTTTCAACATTTTCTCTTCAACAATAACAAATAAAATTTGTTTAGAATGTCTTATTATTCATTGAAATCTGAAAAAAATTATCATTTGACGTTGCCTTACATAAAAAGATGGAACATACCTCTTTGGGATTCTAGAGATTAAAAGGAATGAATTAGGTACTTATTCATGAATATGAATATTATTATTTCAAGTTTTTTTTTCTTTAATTATTTTTCTGTTATTTAAATTTTTAGGATGTAAACATCCATTGAATTGTAAAGCTTTGCTTGCTGATGGTCATACAATGTCTGCTGTTTACACTATTTATCCCTGTAACAACCAATGGTCAGTCAATGTCCAGTGTGATATGACCACCAAGGGTGGAGGATGGACGGTCAGTTTAATAATTATTTAACCTATTAGTGCATGGAAAAATAACTGATAAAAGATATGAAGATTTGTTCGACCAATTTCAAAAACAATTCTTCATACTTCTAGGTTATACAGAGGCGTGTTGACGGATCAACCGATTTTGACAGAACTTGGCAGGAGTACAAGGAGGGATTTGGTTCTGTGAATTCGTCTTATTGGTTGGGTAAAGTCATTTTTGTTTTCTTTATTTTTAAAAAGTTGTATCCTTGTTTTGAATCTATAAGAAACTCGATGTAGTGATATATTTTATAATTTATAATTTTCGTGATAGATTAAATGTTATGGTTTTCGAGTTACGGAGAGACCAAAACATTAAAAAAAATTGTGGCAACAACTCAAGAACATAGGATACAAATATAAACAAAAAAAGTAGTGAAAATATTGTTTTAAACATAGATGATAAAATACAACATGAAGGTAAAACTTTGGCAGATTATTTTAACTGTTTTTTTTTACAACTATTGCATTAAAACTTGTAAGCAAATTACCTGGTCCTTCATATATGTTTTCTGTCACCTCAAAGGTTTTTAGACAGTTGTATGAAGATAAAAACATAGAAAACAAAACTTTTGTACTTCAACCTGTGTCTGAAGATTTTATATACAAAGAACTAAAAAGTTTGAATGTTAATGAAGTACTGGTTTAGATAATATACCAGTAAGGTTTTTTAAAAGATGGTGCTTTTTATTTTAAAGAACCTTATATGTCCATTGTAAACAAATCTATAACCCCGGTACTGTACCAGATGATTTTAAAATGGCAGGAGTCAAGCCTCTGTTCAAGAAAGGAAATTCCCTTGAAGTGGGAAATTATAGGCCAGTCAGTATATTATGTAAAGTTTCAAAGATTTCGGAAAAATGTGTCCATGTTTAACTTTTAGTTTTTTTTTTAAACAATAACCACTTGTTGTATTCTTACCAATCAGGTTTTATAAACACATTTTCAACAAATACTTGTTTAATACATATGTTAGATTTTATTAAAAGTAATACATCCAAAGGGCTTTTTACAGGTATGGTAATGTTGGATTTACGAAAAGCTTACACTGTCGACCATACAATTTTATGTGATAAGTTTAAAGTTTTAGGAGTTGTATCCACTGAGTGGTTTAAATCTTATCTGTCTTGTAGACAACAACTAGTTCATGTCAACAATACTTCATCAGACTTTAGTACTGTAAATTGTGGTGTTCCTCAAGGCAGCATCTTGGGACCTCTTTTATTTTTAATATATGTCAACGATATGACTGTCATTATTGATGATGACTATAAATTAATTTTATAGGCGGATGACAGTGCCATTTTTTATGCACACAGAGATCCTGTTATTATTGCTCAGAAACTGGGTATTGTTCTTGACAAATGTTCTTCTTGGTTAGTAGACAATAGATTGTCACTCCATCTAGGTAAGACAGAATCTATTTTATTTGGTCCTCCAAGAAAGCTTAAAAGTATCTCAGATATTAAAACTGTGTGTAATGGTCACATTATTATAGGTTCTGACAGTGTCAAATATTTAGGAATCTGTATTGACAAGTTTCTTTCATGTGAAAATATTGTTTTAAGTATCATACAAAAAGTTAATGCTAGACTTAAGTTTTTATATAGAAATGCATCCTGTCTTAGAACAAAGTCTAGAAAGACCCTATGTTCTGCCCTGATACAATGTTACTAGTACTATGCCAGTTCTTCTTGGTATTGTGGAATAAACAAGCAACTTAAACACAGATTACAAGTAACCCAGAATACAGTAGTACCGTTCATTTTAAACCTTAGTCCAAGAGAGAGAGTATCTCTAACAATATTTTAAACTCTCTAAATATGTTAAGAGTGGAGGATAGAGCTTAACAATTAAGATTAAATCATGTATTTAATGTATATCATGGTAATGCACCAGCTTACCTCCATTATCATTTTGTATTAAATATTAATATCACAAGAAGTGCCACAAATAAAAATTTTATTATACCAAAGATAAAAGGGAAAGAGTCTTCACGTTTTTTTATAATGCTATCAAAGATTGGAATACATTGCCACTGGAGATCAAAGATGTGAAAACAAAACAAAGTTTAAAGAAAGCTGTAAAATCTTTTTTATCTACAAATGCTAGTGTCACTACATAAAAAGCTTGACTAATTTTATCGTTTATTGACTATTTTAGTATGATAACCATTTTGTGATAATTATAAAGATAAAATGTGCTACTGTAAACATGTCATTTTTCAAAGCATTATGCTATACTCATAAAAGTTCCCGCCTAAATTCCAATGTTTATGTAATTCTGTTATTTTTTGTTTACTAACATGGCTGTTATTTGAGGACCCCATTGGAAATAAGCTTTTTAATAAGGTTTTATGGGCTATCCTTAGGTAATATCTATCATCTGTATGTCATGCAATTTATTAAATAATCAATACTTACATGTATATGTTAAATTATAACTTCTTTAAGTAGCATAGTGATGAGATAATGTGTGTGTTTTTTATTCAAGTAGTATGCTAGTCTGTATTGTTTTAATTTGTGAATCATGACATTCTGTGATATTTTATCTGAATAAAATGAAATGAAATGAAATGACCATGTCAAAATGTATAAAATCATATGCATTACTACTAAGCATTTTCCAACCACGAATTCAAATCCCCGCCAATCAATATCGTTTTCCTCAAACCATAAAAATTTGACCTTATGAAAATATCTTAAATTTCTTTTATCGTTTCGACTTGGAAGGATATTTTGTACTTGTTCAAATATATGAGATGCATGTACATGTCAATAGCCATTTTTTAAAATCAGTTACCTATTGTTTCTATTAAAGATTTACTTTATCAATATCTCTATTTTATTTTAAGGAAATGACGTCATTTATCTGTTAACCAATCAGAAGCCGTCTCTGTACTTGTCCATTACACTTACCAATGGAACCACTCTATACCAACAGTACGGGGAATTCTCCATATCCAACGAGGCAGACAACTACAGACTTTACCTGAATGGACCGACCACAGGAACACTAGGTGAGATGTCAATTATTTAACAGACTAGTTGTACATTGGATAGGTTAGTTATGTTTCTGTGTGGTAAAGTGTGAAGGAGGGTAATATCATTCATCTTTGATAGTTTTGTCAATAAACAGGCCTTACAATGAGTGAATAGTTTTTAAAACATGAATTCAAAATTTTAATTACTATAAAAGATATATTAACATAATAATGATATTTAAAATTGTATAAAAGATATGTTTGAGTTTCTTTTTTTTATTTGGAAATCAATTTACATGATCAAAAACAATGATTTATACCTATTGCACAACATTTGTAACATGTATACCGCTATATACTTTTGACCACGATATACTTGAGGTGTAGTTAAAACTATGCGAGTGTGAGAACTTAAAGAAAGAAAAAGGCGTTTTAGTCCTACAATTTATGAACGTAACAATTTAGTTCCGGATCTTAGTAGGAGAAAACAGAGAGTACATGTATATATAAAAGTAATTGTTTGTTTCTCATTAATTAACAGTCGATTTAATTTTATTTTTGTTGAATACCTGTGCTTGTTATGAGTAATCAACCGACTCATTTTTGGGAGTTGAACTATATTCAATATCCCATGGTCATCACGTATTTAACATGTGCAGTAATTTGTGTTGATTATATAGAGCCGAAAGCGAGGCTACTGTGTCGGCTGATTTACTACGATGATATTCAACAGAAAACATGCATAAACATCCGCCACAAATAGTTCATGTCATTTTCTCCTGAATTGATCTAATTTTCATAATTTGAAATGTAAATAAATGTAATAATGATAAAGTAATCTTATTTTGAATAATAGATTTCGTTCAAAGTAAAACTAAATTATAAAGAGCCTCAAAAGTTTTTCGTAATGGAACTCATTTTTTGTGTGGCGTCATTCACTGAAAAAGATACGATCGACAACTCTACATACTAACGGCAAGCGGTAAATTTAGTCGTTCCGACGCCCGACGGTCCCGGATTTTTAGGAATTTCTTTTTTACCGGTGCACAGAATTTATTCAAACTTTTCATGAACATTTTCTTGGATTAAATGAATTCATTAATGCATAAAAACTTTAGGAAACATGCGTATTTATTACTAAATCAGCAGTATCACCTGCCAAAAGCGGTAAATGTAGTACTCTATTTTAAATGTTAAAACCAAAAAAGGGACACTGGTGTTTTTCGTAAAATCATTGCGAAAAAACAACAAAATGAAGTTTTTTTTAATAAAAGGAAAACCTCATTTACATACCAGATAACTCGTACGCACACAAACTCTCACATATACCACAATTTTTATGTTTGGTCATTAAATATTTGTTTTAAACTTGGTATTGTTTTTTTTTCTTCACAAATATTAAAAAAGATTAATTCTGTTCTGACGTACTCCATGTATAATGTATAATGTGCCTGTAATTGAAATACATTTATATTCACAGAGAAGTTTTATATAACAAACCTGTTAACTCTTAAAAGGATGCTGTGTTAAAATCCACATTTTATCAACATTGATATTATTCCTGCGAAACTGAAATTTTCATAGCACATGGGTAAAGGTGCCAAGAAAAAATATCTTACAAATTTGAAGACTGTGAGCAGTGAATTATATAAATGATCAACCGACCTCTAATATGATTATAATGGCAGTGTTCATGTTTTGCAATGGGAAACCCAAAATATGTATAGGATGAAAGAAGTAATAGAAGGTGCACAACGGCAATATGTAATAAAGATTCTATGAAAATTTCGTTCAGTGGTGTAAGAGGAGTTGCAGATAAGAGATGGGTATACCTAAAGCGTTACAAACAGATAGACGGAAATCCAGATTAATATTTACCCTCCCGCTTTTCAAGCAGGGGGTATAAAAAAAAAAGGACTAATGTACGCAGGCAACAATATGGCCCCTGCATTTTTTTGCTATTCAATGTCTCTGAATGTCTTTCTCAAGATTTTTGCAAAAAATCTGAAACAGCTGTCTGTATTTGAAATAATAATATTGTTCACTCACTTAACCTCCCGATCAAAGATTTTATTTAACACCACGTTCAACTCCCATGAGTGCTTTCAGTACTTTGATTCAATTTTGACAATACGATTCAAACTAGTAAATGAAATGTGCACAATATAGAATAAAGCATGTGATTTGCTATAACTATAAAGCTCGTAAATAGGAATCATTTGATTTGTGGTGTTCAATATTTTGTCCTTAATTACAGGTGACAGCATGATGTTGAACACAGGAATGTCTGACACAAATCTGTTTGGGATGGCCTTCAGTACCCCAGACAGAGATAATGACGGGTGGAGTGCTGGTAATTGGGCTGCTTTAACTAACATAAGAGGGGGTTGGTGGTTTAACAAATGCCACTACGCCTTCCTGAACGGTCCGTGGTCCCCGGAAGATTGGCATTATCCATGGTTTCCGCTACTTAGGGATGGTACAGAGATAAAAGAGACTGTTATGATGATAAAAACTCATTAACAATTTTAAATGTTGTTTTTACATAAGAGTCAGAAAATTTAATAGCATTCAAATGGTAGTAGCTTTATAAGAATGGAAGAATTGATATTTTATAAGATCATCTGCTGAGGTACTTCAGTAACCCTCTTATAACCCTCTTTTTGCACATAAGTTGCGCCTAATGAGTTTCCATAGCTGATCGCTCAACTGCGAAGACATGTGTTTGAACATCTTATTGATATCAGAAACAATACTAAAGGAATTATCTCAGAAAAGTAACATTCCTGATATAGATATTTAATTTTAAGTAGAAAAAAGACAGGAAAATTCTAAAGTTATAAATAAATAAAAGACATTTAAGGAATGGAGCTTGTTTCAACTTTTAAGCGTAAACTGCCCCAAGTTTTGTTATATCGTATAATATAAGTTTAAATTAGCTTCATTCCTTATAATTTAATTTCAGTGCAGACAATAAGACAATTTTCCACCCCCTATAGAACTGATACATAAACCTACCAGCTATGTGCATGTAAATAGATCCAGTTTGTTGTTTTTACGTAAGAGTAAGAAAAAATTATTTAAAATAAGATTTTCCTTAACCACATTTACAAGCACTGAGGAGTTATTTGTATCGAGTACTTTTGATACAATATGTATGGTCAAACCTGTCAAATACAGACACCTCTTGTTCCATACTGGCCGGATGTAACATTTCAAAAAAGGCAATGTTTTAAACAAGTATATAAATAGAAATGAATTATATATTGCATAGTATTAGGCGATTTATTATGAGTTCTCATCAAGAATTAAAACACGACATATTTTCCCACAGTTAGTTTTCGTTGTGGAGAAAAAGTGTATGAGAATTTCGCTGCACTTTTAATGCTTTAATGTAAAAAATACCACAACTTTTAAAAATATCTGTTTAATGTATAGGGTAGATTAAATTTTTCCACTGGTGAAAAAGTATTTGGGGAGAGTTTCATTCATTATTTTTTTTTATTATTTAACTGATATGCAATATACAATATTTTATAAAAATATTCACTATACAACAAGATAGTCTATTGAAATAAATAAGTGATTCATAAAGTGATGACATCTATGTATCTGGAATATAGTGATTGACCTTATGTTTTTTTTCTGTGAAGATGTTGCTTATATAAAGTTATTGCTATAGACCTAAAAACAATTACAGCTCTAACTCAAAAGCACTTTATTATATTTTATATATATTATCCGTTGTAAATTTCCAAAGATTTTATAATGAGTCTTGATTTTTTTACATAATAATACAAAAATGTGTTTATGAAACACTGATGTCCCCGTATGGCAACATAGCCAAGGTTAAGCTTTTTCAAATGCAGATCAAATATGTTGGTACCAAAAGTGAGGTCTTTTCACAAAAAATACAAATGCGAAATATAAAACGCTAGCTACACCTTTTATACGGTTTTGGCCAAAGTTAACATTTTATAAGATAGGTCAAACTCTGGGTCAAGATTGTTGGTTTCTAAAGAAAGGTCTTGTCTCAAAGATTACTTATGGGAAGTATGATAGCGCTGGTCTTTACAGTTCAAACGTTACATTTGGTTAAAGTCAAGCGGTCAAGACTATTGATATCAAATGAAAGGTTTTGTCACAAGAATTACACATGTGACATATGAAAGCTCAAGCCTCTACGGTTTAATAGTTATGGCCAAGGTCAAAGTTCGTAAAAAGTAGGTCAAACTCAAAATTCAGGACCAAGGTTCTTGTGTCAAATTAAAGGTCCTGTCACAAGAATGAAATTTGTGATGTGTGTATGTCCTAGTCCTATCCCTTCAAATTTTATGGTCAAGAATTTATTTTTCAAGTAGGTCAAACTCCAAGGCCAGAGAGTCAAAGTTCTTGGTATCCAATGAAAATTATTTTGACAAGGATAATATTTGTGAAGGATGAAAGCCTCAGCACTTATTGTTAAGCCAAGGTTAAAGTTTTTTTATAGGTACGGACATCTCGAGTTTTTAACACAAAATATTTTGAGTGCAGAAAGGTCAAATAAATGACTATGCAGAGTGATTTGAATTTTTTTTTGGTCAGATTTTTTTTATGTCACTATTTATGATAGAAAAAAATACTATGTTTAAAAAAAACAGCTAAAACAAATATTTAAGGAACTGATTTATATGTCAAACCTAATTAGTGCAAAATGGTTACATTGATTTTTCTGTAGAGTTAAAAGACGCATATTGATCCCCATGTTTTTTTACGTGTACATGTTTCAAAAATATACTTGATAGAAAAATTATTCATGCCTTTAATTTGAAAGTTAGAACTAACGTCCCAAATGGACTTTTGAGCTTGATCAGGCATTGACAAAACATAATTATAAAAATGTTTATATTCCATATTTTAGGGCATCTGAATTATTGTATAAAATATGGGAAAAAATAAAGATTTTAATCTTGCTTGAATAGTTTAAACCATATTTTATTTGAACATGACAAGCAAGAAATACAGGCAAGAAGTACAAAGATCAAAAAGGATTCGGAAACAAGTTTCAAAAACTTATACTAATCCGTTTCCTAATTATTAATGATAAAGATGACAGACCCTTATTAGATAGTTACATAACACGGTTTTGAGCTGTATTACAACAATATTTGAGATTGACATACATATTGAATATGAAATCATGTTAAATTACACAAATGAAACACGTTCTAATTACACAGAAGGAATCTTAAAGATGTACAATATGTATGTGAAGAAAAAAAAACAAACAAAAGAAAGTGGTTGACATAAAGTAGAAGATAATTAAAGAATAACTACAGGTGCAGTTACAAATATAAATACTATTTTGGGAAATATAACAATAAAAGATTGGGGATATAATGAAGAAGAAAAAAATGAACGACGCTTGCTACATGCAGTTGACAGGATGTAACATACCCAAGAGAGATGGAGTAGTGAATATTTACTATAGGGAAAACTGATCACATGAATCTTTTTGTAGCTACAATAAATTTTTGGACAGATTTAAAGATCAGAACATTATCTGCCAATGAAAGATTTGGTCACCAAATAATAATATATTGGAGTTTATGTAATACGGAAGAGCATAGATAAATCTATCTCTGAGATCATTGAAATAGGGACAGTGTAGGAGAAAATGTTCGGAAGTTTCAATCTCACCACAATTACAATTAGGACTATTGACAATATTTCGAGAAAATAAATGACTATTGAGTGAGCTACATTCGAGACGTAGTCTTGTGTGCAGTATTTGTTCCTTACGTTTACAAGTATAATAATATTGAGAGGGTTTGCGATTTGGATTGTTTACATTTAAATAGCGTTTTAAATTAGAAAGCGAAGGGTTCTGTTTAATAGAATCAGGTAACTCGTTCCAAAGTTTGATGGTTGACGGGATGAAGGTTTACTTGCTGATGGTTTTACTTTATCTGGTGTTTATACGATCTATCCCTGGATTGTAAAGGTTTACTTGCTGATGGTTTTACTTTATCTGGTGTTTATACGATCTATCCCTGGATTGTAAAGGTTTACTTGCTGATGGTTTTACTTTATCTGGTGTTAAAACCATCTATCCCTGGGACAACCCTTCACTGGACGTTTACTGTGATATGGAAACAAAAGACGGACGGTGGACGGTCAGTATGATATGTAATTAATCACTGCATGAAATTAAAACAAATTAAAATTGTTTCAATATTTTTCCTATGGATTGTAGAAGTTTACTTGCTGACGGCTATACTATGTCATGTGTTTATACCATCTATCCCTGGGACAACCCTTCACTGGAAGTTTACTGTGATATGGATGGATGGAGGGGAAGATGGAGGGTGGACGGTCAGTGTAGTTAGTAATTAATCACTGCATGGAAATATATGAATACAAATTTTATTAAAAGATTTTGACGATCTTTTTCTTTATACAATAGGTTATACAGAGGCGTGTAAACGGATCGATTGCTTTCAACAGAACTTGGAATGAATACAAGGAAGGGTTTGGTTCTGTTCACTCGTCTTATTGGATAGGTACTCATGTATATGTATTTATTACTTGTAATAAATATCAAGTCTCAATTTTTTTAAAAAGATTTTTGTTTAAAAGATACATGCATCTACTTTGTTATCTTATAAATTACATTATAAATACGATATAAAGGATGTTCTATACATCTGTTTAACCAAGTGTTGTGTTACCAAGTTGAAAAAAAAAAATTCATACAGTGATTCAAATATCAAACTAACTTTAATTTTTAATAATTATGTAACAAAGCAGTTAATTAAAATGATGACTACTGTCCCATTTTGCTTAGTTTGAACGGTTACTTATACTCAAGGTAAATTAAAACTATTGGATGATATGAGATGCACCAATTAAGAGCCATTCTCTGTAATGATTTGAAATTTTATATAGGAGCTGTGGCACGCATAGTCTCAGAATTTCTCCAAACTCTCTATGATAAAAGCCATTGATACCCTAAACTGAAATCAGGCAAAAATTGGTTGCTATGTTTTATAGTTACCATGGCAACATGCCTTAAAGTTCGAAAAATGGCATTTTTAAAACATGGTAATTAACATTTGCTCAAACAATTGGCAATGACTGTTTCCAAAAGTTGAAGGTCAGATGTCTCAAATGCATGATAAACATGTTTTGTAAATCAACTATTACATACTTACTATGGTAACAAAGTATTCAAAATTAAAATATTCATTGAATTTTATAAAGTCATACAGGTAAAAATAAAAAGCAATTATAGGATGAAATGTGACCAAATAATAAAAAAAGAGCCTTGAAACATATACCAAGAGCAAAATATGATATTTCATTTTGGTTGGCAATGGTTGCCAAGGTTTTTATACCACAGAGAGCCTTCAAAGTAACACTATGTATGTTTAAATCTGATCCTATCTTTAAAAAAAAAGCACATTTCCTCATAACTAATGATCAATTTTATAAGATGTTGGTGTGCTCCCATTTGAAAAAATTCAGATCAGATTCTTTAAATAGAGCGTTGCTATGGAAATAAGCAGAAAATATATGCTTAAAAACCTGAAAAATATTTTCTTTCCTTGGATACGTACCCTTACATGTAGATTCCCAAAACTTTTAAGATTGATATTTATTAACAGCTAACTTGACTTTTAATTTTGACTTTCATCCAATCTCTAAGTGGATGCAAGAAGTGGCACACAGGGTTTAATATTGATATAAAGTTCACAAAATCGAACATTTTCCCTTCTTGGTAACCATAGCAACAGTGTTGTTTTATTCATCAAATTTTATCAATATATGATATTCAACTTCAGTTTTAACAGATAAGTACTATTCAAGCTGAGTCCTTTAATTTGATTCTTGATTAAATGGCAATTTAATTCTTAATGCAGCGAAAAATAATTCACTTTTAAGCACTGGTACTTTGTTTCCATGGTAACACTACAAAGTAGCAATTATACCGAATTTTTCTTATGGTTTTGGTGTTGCAAGGTCCCAAGGAAGCATACTTGGCAGTCTTGAATTTTCATGTTTTTCCTTAAGACAGTAGCATTAACCCAATCTAAGTTACTGGTTTTACATGATTACACTGTGTTACCATGGCAACCATAAAGGTTATTTATAGAATAATATTGCTTATACTTATATACTTAAGCTCAAACATTTTCATTGTTTTTCTT